ATCAGTCTCTTCTTCGTCTATTAAAAAGATTATTTACATATATATTATAAATAAATGTGTAAAGATTCAAATCAAGAGATTCGATATTTATCTACCTGGTTCATGATTTACAGAATTTTCAATATCTCCATTCTCATTTACTTCTTGAGTGACAGGCTGATCTTCTATTACTAAAAACAAATAAAATAAATTTTTAAAACATTTAATATACAATTTAAATGAAATATTAATCATTGATTTAAACAAAAAATGCTCTAGTTTAAAAAGAATTATTTTTAGTTTTTGAGTTGAATTTGATAATTTAATCGTCAATGTAATTATTTCTCTCAATTTAAACATATTCTTATTATATAAGTTTTTGAGATAATGATGATCTCGATATGTAGATCGTAATACATAAGTACTTTTAAAAGTACATCGATGAAACGTTTTAAATCATCGCGAAAAGTTTTCTTTGAGCGAGTTGTTGCTCCAACTAAAGAAAGCTTTCCACCATCCGAAGAATTCAGTTTGTCCAAGTGACGGTGACGGTGGTGCTATTTCAGTTTAAAGTTTTAATTGTCTCTTCTCCGCGGTCTGCTCAACTCGAAACAGTAATTCGAGATAAAATAAAGCGCTCGTCCGACTCGCGGTGTTTTTATCTCGGATTTTTAAATGCTTCATCCCCGTTGATGTATTAAAAGTGTTAACGGAAACTTTTGCTTTCTCAGCATGGAGTACGATTCCGAGTATTTCCATAGATTTCTTAAAGAACTTTTCTTCCATTTTTAGAGAAATTTTTCTCTAAGTTCCCGGATAGTTATGCAGGATGTCTTGCAATAAGATAAAAATTTTTATATCAAGAAAAATATCGAGCAAGATTTATATACTTTTATATCAGGTGATTGCATAAGTTCGTGCCCGATTTAAATATAAACTTCAATAGATTATATTTTAGAGATAACACTTTTATTAATCAATTATATAGTCTCCATTCTTTTCTACAATGGTTTTCCAACGATCTATAAGCTTGTCGATTCCATTTTTGAAGAAAGAACTTGTTTTTTCTTGAAAAAAGTTTGTAAGGTGGTTTTCGACAGCTTCCTCGGAATTGAGATTCTTGCCATTTAAACTATTCTGCAAAGACCGGAACAGATAAAAATCTGAAGGCGCAATATCTGGAGAATATCGGTTGCTGCGGGTGCTGCAGAATTTCCCCTTGCAACTCCTGCAGTTTTCGCAGCGTCTGTTGAGCGACGTGTGGCCTAGCATTGTCGTGGTGGAAGATGACGCCTTTTCGATTGGCCAAAATCGGACGTTTTTCTCGAATAGCTGCAGCGAGTCTAGTTAGTTGCTCACAGTACTTGTCCGCCGTGATTGTTTCGCCGCGTCGGAGCAGCTCAAAGTAAATAATTCCCTTGCGATCCCACCAAACACACAGCAACACCTTCATCGGATGCAAGCCAGCCTTTGCTACGGGTTCTGCTCCTTCAGCTGCTGTTTTCCATGTCCTTTTTCGCTGTACGTTTTTGTAGAGAATCCACTTTTCATCGCCTGTTACCATTCGATCTAAAAAAGGCTTTTTTTTGTTACGCTCGAGAAGAGAAAGAGCCACAGTCATACGGTTTAGCTTATTCCTTTCAGTCAGGAGATGCGGCACCCATGTATCAAGCTTGGAAACGTATCCAAGCTTTTTTAAATGACGAAAAGCGGTTGAATTATCGATGTTCAGCTTCTTAGCAATATTCTCAGTTGTAATCCTTGGGTTTCTTTCCACTAAGGCATGCACAATGTTATCATCAATGCCAGAAGGCCGTCCAGAGCGGGGTTGATCCTCCATGTTGAAATTACCATTTCGAAATCTGCCAAACCACTTTTTGACTGTTCGGAGAGCAGGAGCGCGGTCTAAATAAACGGTTTGAATATTTTTTTGTGCAATCCCAACACTCGCGCCTTTCCGAAATTCATATAACATTACATGCTGCAAATGCACCTTTTCGTTCTCCATTTTTAATGATTTCTCTTATGCACAAATGGACTTATCTGAACAATGTCTGACGCTAAATTGACATAAGACAACGTCATCTATTCGGTGTAAGCAACAATTACCACACAAAAACAATAGCACTCCGCCATGCAGTAACTTAATGCCATCTATGAAAATCGGACACGAACTTATGCAATCATCCAATATTAAAATGGATCTTTAATCATTTAAAATTAATTTTATGCATAAAGCGCTCTTTGGTCTTTATTATAAGTCAGTTTCATGTGAAATACAAACAATATGTAACTTTTGTTTAAATACCGTAAAGATAGACGACGGTACGAATGTTGGATACAGACATGTCCCGGAGTTTTCCGGGATTCCAAGAGCATTTAGAACAAGACGAAAGTGGGGTTCGCCGGCAAATGCGATTAGCCACATCGAAAAGGAGCTTTAATGAAAGTTACCCGCTCTCGACTCTCCGTAGCAGTCCCGATACTTGCGTGAATTTAATCTGCATCGGAACCTCTGAGGAGAGTTCTCACTGGAAGTAAATCGATAGAGCGGGGAAAAATGTGCGAGGATGAGACATCAAGCAGTAAATAATTCACAGAATGCTTGAAAAAACTCTTCGATACTCGAAAGGGGGAAGTCGAAGTGGCTCTGGAGAATAAAATCCTGCTCGAGGGTAAAGCGGATACATGTTCGGAATAAATGGACGCGTAAGGATGAGCTACATTGCTGGAATGAAGATAAGTCGGATATGCGCCTGTACTTTCAAAGGATTGACGCCATGTGTGTAGCGCGACTCTACGGATTTCTGCCTTAACGGAGCATCTTACGATCTTTCCTTATATAAGAAGATGCTCGTGATTTTTTTAAAAGTGTATGTATGTGTATGTGAATAAATCCCTAAACAATATTTTTTCTGACGGAAAAATGAAGATAGTTATTTATTAAGGAAAAAGATAACGAGATAGAGATACGCAAGGTCAAAAAATACATTTTCGCTCTTTTTCAATTTTATCATTTTCAAATAAAGCCAGATTTAAAAAAATAAAATTATAAAAATATATTAGAATAATGTAAATTGTATTTGTAAACTGCGTTATATATAATATTATATAATAATATAAATTATATTATAGAAAAATGTGTGCATTTTGTGTTTTTAATAAATAATGTTTCCAATAATTATTAAAGAAGAATATATTTATAAAAGCAATTATGAAAAAGATTTATATGTGTAATAAATGACGATTTATTCTTGTTTATGTATAAAATGTACGTTATAATAAGTTGTTGCATTTTAATAACCCTGTTATGCGTGGGCGTTTGATAATTTATTTGAAAGAACGTTAAAAATGAATATGCACATTGACATTTGAATATTTCGAATTTAATTTTTCTTCTTTTAATTCGCTCGTAGCAACATGATCCATGTTAAATTGAGAGCCGTGGATTTTATTGTTAATCGGCGTTTATATGCATGCATGCGTGTAATATGAAATTTAATCTTATACTCTATTAAATCACTCTATCTCTCCCTCTCTCTCTCTCTCTCTCTCTTCTCTCTATCTCTTTTCTGCATTTTTTAAAATTAAATTTTGCATTACTTATTCAGTAACCGAGTTGGCGTTTAAGCATTAAATTATACGTATGCGTATCACAAATATTTTCTATTCCGTACAATGCATTCATTGAAAAGAGCGAAAATTGTATTACGTAAAGAATAAGATGTGCAGCGAATGTAAGACTAACGCTGCAGTAGATATCCATCAACAGATGACAGAAAAAGTGTAGATCGTGACTACTGGAAAGAGATACTAACTTGAGAAGAAAGAAAAATCGTGATGCATCGTCGTTGTTGCGATGACTGCAATACAACGATTCAGAGCAAAATGAATTAATAAAAACAGATAATTTTTGCACAAGATTTCAAAAATAAATTTTTTCACAGTTGAATGATGATCGAGACTAATAGACGTAACACGATAAAATATGTCGGATATGCGCCTGTACTTTCAAAGGACCGACGCCATGTGTGTAGCGCGACTCTACGGATTTCTGCCTTAACGGAGCATCTTACGATCTTTCCTTATATAAGAAGATGCTCGTGATTTTTTTAAAAGTGTATGTATGTGTATGTGAATGAATCCCTAAACAATATTTTTTCTGACGGAAAAATGAAGATAGTTATTTATTAAGGAAAAAGGTAACGAGATAGAGATACGCAAGTCAGATTAAAAAAAATAAAAATATAAAAAGATATTAGAATAATGTAAATTGTATTTGTAAACTGCGTTTATTATATATAATAT